GTTCGAAGTTGTACCAAATATCCTATTTCGAACTACATTTCATATGAAAAACTATCAAATAGTCATAAGACCTTCACATCTAGGATAACTAATTTGTTTGTTCCAAGGAATATACATGAAGCTTTAGAAGATCCAAATTGGAAACTAGCTGTCATGGAGGAGATGAATGCTCTAAAGCAAAACAGTACTTGGGAGATAGTAGAATTGCCAAAGGATAAGAAACCAATGGGATGTAGATGGGTGTTTACCGTAAAATGTAATGCAGATGGTAGCATCGAGAGATACAAGGCTAGTTTGGTAGCTAAAGGCTTCACACAAACCTACGGGATAGATTATCAGGAAACGTTTGCTCCTGTTGCAAAAATTAACTCTATTAGAGTTCTTTTGTCTCTTGCAGTTAATGAGTCCTAAACCATAAGTTTTAGGGCAATGAAGTTTGACGACATGATTTGAACCAAAAGTGATAGATCTTTGGGTTCCTCCACTGGCTTGATGTGAAAAATGCTTTTCTTAATGGTAACCTTGAGGAAGAAGTTTTTATGGATTTGCCACCAGGTTTTGAAAAAGAACTCGGATGGAATAAAATCTGCAGATTAAAGAAATCTCTCTATGGCCTCAAACAGTCTCCTAGAGCTTGGTTCAAACGATTTGGAAAAGTCATATCGAGTTATGAATTTCTTTAGAGTCAAGCTGACCATACTATATTTTATAAACACTCTGAGAATAATAAAATCTCAATTCTGATTGTCTATGTAGACGATATTATTCTCACTGGTGATGATGAAGCATGACTAGTTGGTCTTAAGGAAAAAATCTGGCAAGTGAGTTTCAAATCAAGGACTTGGGAACATTAACATATTTTCTAGGAATGGAATTCGCAAGATCGAAGAAAGGTATATTCGTTAATCAAAGAAAAATGTTCTTGACTTACTTGGGGAAACATGATTGCTTGGTTGCAGGATCGCAGAAACTCCTATTGAACCTAACTTGAAATTACAAGCAGCAAACGCAGAAGAAATAAAGGATAGAGAGCAATACCAGAGACTCGTGGGAAGATTAATTTATTTGTCACATACACGACCAGATATTGCATTTGCTGTAAGTATGGTAAGTCAATTCATGCATGCACCTGGACCAACTCATTTTGAAGCTGCCTACAGAATCTTGAGATATTTGAAGGGAACTCCTGGAAAAGGTATTTTATTCGAAAAGAATAACCACTTCCAAGTAGAAGTTTATACTGATGCAGATTGGGCTGGAAGTACTACCGACAGAAGGTCTACTTCTGGTTATTGTTCCTTTGTTGGAGGAAACCTAGTTACATGGAGGAGCAAAAAATAAAATGTAGTGGCCAGGAGTAGTGCTGAAGCAGAGTTTAGAGCATTGGCTCGTGGAATTTGTGAAGAAGGTATATGGATCAAAAGGATACTTGAAGAATTGAAGATTCCTCAGCCAACACCTATAAGAATTTATTGTGACAATAAGTCTGCCATATCTATAGCTCATAACCCAGTGCTACATGACCGAACCAAACATATCGAGGTCGACAAACATTTTATTAAAGAGAAAATTGATGCAGGTACAATATATATTCCTTATCTTCCGACAACAGAGCAAATTGCCGATGTTTTAACCAAGGGACTTCCAAAGAAACAATTCGACAATTTAATCAACAAGCTGACTATGGACGACATCTTCAAACCAGCTTGAGGGGGAGTGTTGGATTTATCAATATTTGTGTAAATATTAGGTGTCAATATTAGTTGTCAATATTTAGTCTTTATTGTTGATATTCAGTCTTTATGGTGTTTATTACTTTCCTTGTTTGTAGTAGGTCATTCTCCTATATAAGAAGACCTAAGTTACATGTTTGAATCAAGGAGTATATTTTTTACTCTCTCAAATTCACAGCTTGTTTCTCATTTACTGCACAGTAACAAGAGTTACTCTCTTTTAGTTTAAGTTAGAAACCTCTATAAATAGCTGTCAACTTCATTAATAAAGCATCATTGAATTATCATCAGATTGGTATAAGAGCACCCAAAATTCCGGGCACTGAATGGCAGGAAAGAAACCAGCAATCATGGGCGATTCTTCCTTAGCCAGCTTCCATTATCTCACCACGATCAACAACCATAAGCTTGCAGTTGGTAGAAGGAGACATTAAAGACATCCAAAAGGATGTGGGTGAGATTAAACAAATCCTGGAAATTATACATGGGCAGTTGGAAACCTTAAATCTGCAACAAAATCCAACAAGAATGGCTCAAAAAAATCCAGCAAGATTGGAGCAAGAAGCAAGGGTGGATGATCGAAAAGGCAGCTACATTCAAGATACGCAAATGGCTCCACCAAGAAGGGTCCAAGAATCCAATCCAGGTCCAAGAATTCATTAAGAATAGCATCCTGCCCGCCAATAATTGAACCAGAACACTTTCTCCCAACGGCGGCATGAGATTTTTATGGATTCTTCAAGTGACGAGGATGAACTACCCGAATTGGAAGAAGACAAAAGACGATTTCATTATGATCATCGACAATACCGAGATGCCTGTGATTACAAAATGAAGATCGACTTGCCTAGCTTCAATGGAAAAATGGAAATAGAAGGGTTTCTTGATTGGGTGAAGAACGTAGAAAACTTCTTTGATTACATTAGTACTCCCAAGAACGAGAAGGTAAAACTTGTAGCTTTCAAAAGGGGGAGCATCTGTTTGATGGGATTAATTACCCATCAATTAGAGACAGACAGAAGGAGATTTGGAAAGAGACCAATCCGCACATGGGAAAAGATGAAAAAACTCGTGTGAGAAAGATTCTTACCCATTAATTATGAACAGACCCTTTACAACCAATATCAAAATTGCAAACAAGTTACTCAATCTATGTAGAAAGTCAAACTGAAATTTAGGAATCATTTAAAATTTATTTCCTTGTATACCATGTAATTTATTCTTTCCTTGATTGATACCTAATTTCTAGTCTTTTGATTGAGAATTCTCTTGTATATATTTCATCCTATTGTATTGAGAATAATAAGAAAAAGCTCTCCACTCAAAAAGTTTCAATCTATCATGGATTATACAAAAAAGTTTCATCGTTTTGGTGCAAGAACAAATCTGGGAGAGAACAAACATTACAAAGTTGCAAGATACATTGTGGGATTGCATTTAGATATTAAGGAAAAACTACAACTCCAACCAATTGGGTATCTTAATGGGGCCATTTCTACAGCAACCACTGTTGAAGACAACAGAAAAATAAATTCAAACAACAATATAGCCGAAAAACTACTTGGGATGGCCAAAGTGGCAGTAGCTGCAAAAGCAGTACCTCTTTTGACAAGACTAATCCAGCTTCTATCCAATCCAATTTGAAGAAAGGAAAACAAATAGACACTGAACCTCCTACAGATACTAAACATGGGGAAATTCCAGCAACAAAAAGACCCACTAATACCTACAATGGCAAAATTTAGGTAAGTGCTTCAGATGCGGACAGATTGGGCATTTGTCAAATGAGTGCCTTCAAAGAAGAGCAGTAGCTATCCTAGATAACTAAAAAAATTGATCAAGACAATCAAGATTATGAAAATGAGGTCACATATTTAGATGCAAACGAGGGCAAGCAAGTTTCTTGCGTTCTTGAAAGGCTTCTCCTTGCACCAAAAACTGAATCTTCTCCACAAAGACATTCTTTATTCAAGACAAGGTGCACCATTAATGGAAAAATATGTAACATGATTATCGATAGTGGAAGCACCTAAAACATTGTGTCTAGCAAATTGGTAACAGCCCTCAACCTAAAATTGGTGTAGTTAGGTGGCTATTAGTTAGCTTTTTACGTTGTAATCATTTAGTTGCAACCCTTCTTTAGCTTGTTTCTCATTTACTACACAGTAACAAGAGTATTTCTCTTTTGGTTTAAGTTAGAAACCTCTATAAATAGGTTTCAGCTTCATTAATAAAGCATAATTGAATTATTATCAAATTCTTGTGCAAGACTGCATCAATTTTGCTTCCTTTGGGAGTTGAGTTTGTATTTTTGAACATTTTTCTTCATTTACATCTATTTACAACGAAAGGAGAAGAAGAAAAAAAGAAAATAAAGATCTAATTTTGATGCATTTGGATTGAATTACCTTCATCTTCAGAGGAGCGACCTTTCCTTCTTCGGATAAGAATGAAAACTATAACAACAATTAGAAAGCAAACAGATCCTATACCAACAACAATTCCCACTATTACACTGGGTCCATTCTTCTCAGTACGAATCCCCTCTATATTCAGAGGTTGGTGAGTTGGTTCAGAATCTGCAGAAAAGCTCTGTAGTTAATAGCAAATTATATCATAACAATATACCCAATAATAAAAGACATGAATGGCCATCACCTTTACTTGCACTGATTGCTGAAATAGAAGGTCCAAATGTACCTTCATCAGGTATGCAACAAGTACCTTTCCCAGCCCAGAAAAGATGAATTTCCAAGTAGTTTTCTGAAACTTGTGCATTAAACTTCTTTGAAATAGCACGAAAAGACCCACCTGCCTCATTTCTAATATCAAAATTCTCGTGGACAAGATTCCCCTAAAACCAATGATCTTAAACTCAAACATGATGGAATAATAAATCAAAAGAAAAGAAGAGATGGAATATATTAGACTTGCAAATGAGAATCAGATTGTAAAACAGCTATAAACACTTTTAAACAAGATGATTGGGGAATGTTGATTAATTAAGAATTTAAAGCATCAAGTCCATGCAGATTTGAAAATTTGAAATAGCGTCAGTACTTTATTAGGTTCCAGATAAAGGAAATGGAAATATCATTTTCTACTTCAAAATTTCTATAATTTATTATGTGTTACAACTAATAATGCACAAGGTTAAATTCAAGGAAGAGAGTCTCAGAGAATGAAAAGCAAAATAATCTAACCTGATTAAATCTCCTAAACTTTAGGCCTAAAAGATTACAAAATAAAATAAAGATAATTTCCTAATGTGTTATTTACCCGAAAGCCCTAATTTTGATATTACTTTACAACACTACTGAAAGTAATAAACATTCAGACTTCAAATTAAAACGTAAGTCTCTCCTAATAGCTACGGCAGAAACAACCATATGCATTCAAAGTGCTTTACAGAACCAGAGTCTATATGTAGAGTAAATATTTTGATTTAAACCGGATTTGAGACGACAATTATCTCCTTTCTTTCATTGCCAAGCAGCAGGAGGAGCTTCATAACATGTATGTAAAATAAATTAAAGGCTAAAAAGGAAAAAGCAAAACCTGAATATATAAATTAAAGACACGCCTCCCAAGGCTTTCCCATGTAGATGAATCTGGAAAAGTGGTTTCTGCAAACTGAAGGTTCACAGTGTAGTTTCCATTTTCAAGCCTCAGTCCATAGTATCTCAATGACGAAGTAGACAATCTTTGTGTCTGAAAAATTGTCGAGTCATTTGTATTTTCAAATTTATAATTTTGTGTTGGGTCAGTGGCTCTGTTATAAGTAGAGTTTTTGATGTCCTCCGATCCAACATCACTAACAGCCCACTTATCGGAGTCACTAACATGGTATGAAGCTGCACCAGCAATCTTGTTATCCCTTTCATACACAATTCCAGAGGAGGTCACAATCTCTGAATCTCCACAACTGATTGCAAAGTCACGATCTAATATATATGTAAGAAGGGTCATGAGAAGATATCCGTCCTTTAAACAGGAATGAGGAAACAATATATCAATATGAAGATTTAGTGGAGTATAATTTTGAGAAATTCAAAGAAATACAGAGAAATAGTTTGAGAGATTTTATTTGAGTATGAAGTTGAACTTCATCACCATAATTATCAAAAATATAAGCCTGAATTGGTTTGTCCCCTCCCTCATAACAAACAAGATAAACAATTTTTTTGGTAATTTACTCACATGTACCAGAACCTCGATAACAAGGAAATCTTGGTTGAACACAGTTCAATTCTGAATGCAAAAGGCTGAAAGCAAAAGAGAAATGGGTTAGACAAGCAATACAACAAGAGAATTAAATGTTTATCAACCTGGTTTAAGTGGTAGCTGGTACACATGGAGATTAAAGATAGTAAATGAAGTCATGGAATTACCTGGTATCCAGACTTCCTAACATGAAATTGTTCCCAACTAAATTTCTGCAAATCATTCCCAACAAAGAATTATACTACTAATTCCATTTCTTCCAAGTTTACACAAATAGGTAAGTGCCAAGGAATGTGCATTTGCATGATTGTAAAGAAAAAGGAGCAAAAGAGTAGTATCGAAAATACAGCTGCAAGATAGAACCACCGTCCACCCAAGAAGGAAGCTTCCCTGATAAACCATTATATGATAAGTCTCTACAATCATTGAGTGGAATGTGTTAGTACTTGAGAAAAACGTTAATGGCCATAACAAATGCATGCACTACTCAAACCAATCATTCTATTTCAATTTTAAAATTTTTAGACATTTTAAAATTGAAACGTGCTTCAAATTAACAACCGGTTCTATGATTATTGAAATAAAAAATTATATGAAGAACTTACATACAAAGAAGAGACTCCGACTTTCTTGAAGGTAGCATACCCGTTAACTTGTTATTTCCGAGAAACCTAGAAATAAAACCAAGAATACACGGTTCAATTTGATAGAAAACATGGAGGAATTTACATGTTTAAGTTACAAAGATGCATATTACAAGTGTGATAGCGAACTCAAAGTGAAAAGCAAGTCCGGAATCTCTCCAGTTAACTGGTTAAAGCTCAAGTCTCTGCAAGAGAAATAAGACTAATGTCAAAAGAGATACAAGACTAACAAAGAAAAAGGAAGAAAAAATTATATATATACTAGAAATTTGGGAAGAAATAAAAATGCTATATTTCTTATATCTTTAAATCAAATACAAGGTGTTCTTATTTATATATAAGAATGACGACATACAAATAAGGAAAAAATATACACTTCAAAGATTAACATAAATATGGATAACTTAGTTTTGATGAAATAAAATTATTTGTATTCCAATATATCAAAAAGTAAGAAATACATTGTCTTCTTATATAGGAGAAAGGCTCAATACATAAAAGGAATGTAAATAAGGATAGAATAATAATTAATATTTATACCTAGTATTCACAAATAAACCAACACTCCCCCTCAAGCTGGTTTAAAGATATCTTCCATTGCCAGCTTGTAAATAATCTTGTCAAATTGTACATTCGGGTAGTCCTTTTGTCAACACATCGATAGTCTGCTCCATTGTTGGGAGGTACGGGATACATATCATGCCGGTGTCAACTTTTTCTTTTATGAAATGTCTGTCAATTTCTATATGCTTAGTCCTATCATGTTGGACTGGATTGTGGGCTATGGAGATGGCAGCCTTGTTGTCCCAATAAACTCGTATGGGTGCCTTTTGAAATACTATTCAAGTAACCTTTTTATCCATATCTCATCACAAATACCATGGGCTAAGGCCCTAAATTCTGCTTCAGCACTACTTCTGGCCACTACATTTTGTTTCTTACTTCACCAAGTTACCAAGTAACCACCAACAAATGAACAATAACCAGAAGTAGATCTTCTATCTATCGTACTTCCTGCCAATCAGCATCGATATAAACTTCAACCTGCAAATGGTAGTGTTTTTTGAACAATATACCTCTTCCTGGAGTTCCTTCTAGATATCTTAAAATTCTATAGGCAACTTCAAAGTGGACTGATCCTGGTGAGTGCATAAATTGGCTTACCATGCTTATTGCAAATGTAATATCTAGACGTGTGTGAGACAAGTAGATGAGTCTTCCCACAAGGCTTTGATATCGTTCTTTATCCTTTACTTCTTCTCTTGCAGCTTCCAATTTCAAATTAGGTTCAATAGGAGTTTCAGCTACCTTGCATCAAAGCAAACCTGTTTCTCCAAATAAATCAAGAATATATTTTCTTTGGTTAACAAAGATACCTTTCTTAGATCTTGCAAACTTCATTCCTAGGAAGTACTTTAACGTTCCTAGGTCCTTGATTTGAAATTCACTTGCGAGTCTTTTGTTTAAAGTGGTCAGTTCTACTTCATCATCACCTGTAAGCACAATGTCAACTACATAGACAATCAAAATTGCAGTTTTATTGTTATCACAACGTTTGTAAAAGATGGTATGATCAGCTTCACTCTGAAGAAATCCATAGCTCATGACTATTTTACCAAATCGTTCAAACCATGCTCTTGGAGATTGTTTGAGTCCATATAGAGATTTCTTTAACCGACATACTTTGTCTTTTTCCAAGATTAGCTTCAAAACCTGGTGGTACACTCATGAATACTTCTTCTTCAGATCTCCATTCAGAAAGGCATTTTTTACATCGAGTTGGTCAAGGGGCCAATCTAAATTTGCAGCTAGAGATAAAAGTATCGTAATGGAGTTGATTTTATCAACAGGAGCAAAAGTTTCCTGATAATCAATCCTATAGGTTAGAGTAAATCCCTTTGCAACTAGTCTAGCTTTATACCTTTCAACACTACCATCAGCATTACACTTGATCGTAAAAACCCATTTACACCCCACAGTTTTCTTATCTCTTGACAAATCTACTATCTCCCATGTACAATTCTGTCTTAGAGCACTCATCTCCTCCATAACAGCTAGTTTCCAATTTGGATCATTAGGGCTTCTTGTATGTTCCTTGGAATAAAAAAGTTAGTTATATTAGACGTAAAGGCTTTATGACTACTTGATAGTTTTTCATAAGAGATATAGTTTGCAAGAGGATATTTGGTGCAAGTTCGAGTTCCTTTTCTTAAGGCTATAGGAACATCAAGATCAGAAACAACAGATGAGACATTTTCAATATTTGGAGTGACAAGAATGGAAGATTGATTACCTGGAGTTTCAGAATTATCCCTCGGAGTTTCAGAGGTATGTGATGAATCAGCTATCTGGTCCTCATTCGTTTGATTGAGTCTTCTTCTAGTATAAAACTTAAACTCAGGATTTGGATCAATTTAATCACTCCGTAGTAATTCTCCCCCTCAATCAGAGTTTTCTACACTTGGCATTGAAGGACTCATAAAGACTGGACTAGGACTAGTAAAGTTGGGAGTTGAAACATTAGGAGGAGGAATAGGTATATCCCAAAAATTATCATCCTCTAAATTCAGTTTCTCCCCCTAAAGTTAATTTTGGGTAAAAAAAAGGTTGATTTTCCAAAAAGGTCACATCCATACTCACATGTAATTTTTTTTGTTTGAGGATGAAAACATTTATACCCTTTTTTCATAAAATCATAGCCCAAGAAAATGCATTTAATAGCCCTATGTTCTAATTTTGATCGGAAAGGACTAGGAACATGCACATAAGTAATACACCTTTGGGAGGTAAATCAGAGTTCAAACGAGTTGTTTTTGAAAATTTTCTTTCAAAATATCAAGAGGAGTTTTAAACTTCAAAACTTTAGTAGGCATTCGATTTATTAGGTAGGTAGCCGTGAGCACTGCTTCCCCCCATAAATACTTAGGGACATTCATAGAAAATATTATGGCTCAAGCAACCTCCAAGAAATGCCTATTTTTTCGTTCAGCAATACCATTTTGTTGAGGAGTATCTCGACAAGTGGAGTGATGAACAATGTCTTTATTTTTCAAAAACTCACTCAAATGTTCATTGAAATATTCAGTTGCATTGTCAGAATGCAAGATACTAATTTTGGTTTCAAATTGGGTTTCAATCATATTGTAAAAAAATTTGAAAATATCCTTCACATCAGATTTGTTTGTCAATAAATTAATCCAAGACAAGCGAGTATGATCATCAATAAAGGTTACAAACACCGTCTACCACTCTGAGTTAAAACTTTAGAAGGACCCCAAGCATCACTATGAATCAAGTAGAATGGTTTCGAGGACTTATAAGGTTTTGGCAAATACGTGGATCAATGATGTTTTGCAAAGATGCAACTTTCACAACAAAATTGAGAACAACTGTTTTAAAAAAATTTGGAAATAGGTATTTGAGATAGAAAAAACTAGGATGTCCTAGCCTAAAATGCCAAAGCATAATTTGTTATTTAACAGAGAGAGAGCTGTTACTACTAAGGCACTGAGTTATTTTATTACAACCAGAAGACTCATCAAAGTAGTAAAGACAATCCAGCATCCTAGTACATCCAAACGTCTTCCCGGAGGACTGGTCCTGAAAGACACAGTGAGATGCATAAAAAGTAACAAGACAGTTAGAATCTTTAGAGAGTTTACTAACTGATAGAAGATTGCATGCTAAGTTAGGAACATGAAGAACTTATTGAAGAGTAATATTTTCGGTTAATTTAATGGTTCCTTTTCCTGCAATAGAAGAAAAACTGCCACCGGCTATCTTAATTTTTTCATTGCAATACGTAGGAGAGTATGATTCAAGTATTTTAGAGGAGCTAGTCATATGGTCAGAAGCTCCAGAATCAATGATCCACGGAGATGAGCCAAAACAAGAAAGTGCTCTAGGGTAATTACCTGTTTGTGCCAAGGAAATACAAAGATTACCAAATGACGATATGGTCTCTAGCTGATGTGATAGATGCTCTTTACTAGATGGATTTGAGTCAACACTATTAGTGTGAACTTGCTTCCAATCACTCTCATATTCCGCTAGACTTTGAGTTACTTCAACAATTTCTTCAACCATGGTGGCAAAACAAAGGTTAACTATAACAAATCAGACCACAAAACTGATATTAGGGTAGAACCAGACTGAACCAGAAAGCCAAAAAAAAATTGGCAAGAAAAAGATAGAACCGGACCAAACCAAATCGGATGAACCAAACAGAATTGAGTGAACCGAACCAAACCACAATTCAAACCGAACCAAATCTAGGTTTGTACACTAACAAACCCTAATTTTTACCCACAGATCTGCAAAGAACGGCAACCAGCAAACGTGGAGACCTGGCTCGAATCCCAGCAGACGTGGAAGACGCACGGTGAGTGACAGCGGATCTGCAAAACAT